GAACGCTCTGAGTGTTTTCTCTCTTTGAAAGTATCAAGTAAAGCACTTGATTTTTATGCTCTGTTTTGCTCTGTTTAAGAACTCTCAGAATATTTTTCTTTGAAGCTCTCTGAGTTCTTTTTCTTTTCTCACTTCTCACTTGAAGATTTTTGGTATGCTCTGTACCAAATGAGATTTTTGCTCTTTTATCTTGTTTAGCTCTTTGCTCGTTTTCTCTGCTCTGAGTTCGTGAGTTCGTTATCTTCAAGTCTTTATATCTTCATCATTTTATAGCTGGTAATGAGAATCTGCCCGTTGGAAAGAGACGATCTCATTTTTTAAATCTTGTATCTTTTGTCAGAGATCTTATCTTATCTTCTGCAAAGTGTCAGAAGAGATAAGCTAGTCGTTGGTAGAGCTTCAACTTCATGCAAATGAGTACCCCAACTTCATCTGATATTCCTCTGGTTTTCTCACGTTTCTTGGAAATATCTAGGTCTCAGTTTTGTGTAGAATGGCTTCTCTGATCAGCTCTGAAGTGGTTCTTGGGATTTAAATACTTCAAAAATATTCTTCAATTTAATCCCATACTAGTTAGACTAGTATTTTTCCTTATGAGAATATTTTCACTGTAAGTTTTTCTTCATCTTCTTCATTCTCACGTCTGGGTGTTCTCATGATTCAAACTGGCTTTGAACTTCCTCCCAATTTGAATCTCTCCTTTTGAACTTCCTCCCAATTTGAATTTCTCCTTTGTAATTGACACCCAATTGCAATTGACTTGTAATTGGCACCCAATCTACTCCTGGTGCTTCAATTGCTTCCCAATTTGAATTATTTGAGTACTACATTGGCTCCCAAGTGCAATTGCAATCGGCTCCCAATTCTCCCAATTCTGCTTCTCAATTGCCACCCAAGTGAAATTGCTTCTCAATTGCTTCCCAATTTCCACTTGTAATTGACGCCCAATTGCCTTTTCCACTTGTAATTGACACCCATTGACACCCAAAGCCATCAGACTTAATTAATTTTGGCTTCTCAAATTTTACCTTGTAAAATTGTTAATGGTGAGATTCAAACTTGAGCCATTTTCGCATAATAAATCAAGCATCTTCCACTTCATCCGTACAACTTATTAGTTAAATCTCCAATCATCATTGGTGTACTCCTTTCTTTCCATAGATGCTTGATCTCCAAGTCAAATTCATGCAATCTTCCAATCTTAATTTTCTTCAACGAAAATTCTTCTGGGATTTCTTTTTGGTAGCATTGACGTGATTTTCATATCATTCAACTTCTTCTTTAATTTGTCATTTTCTCCAAAAAAATTCTTGATTTTCGGCTTGATATCTTCTTCTATTTTCATGCATCTTCCTCTGTTTTTCTCTTTTGCTATTTAAATAATTTCCCGATCATGGTCTAAGACTCTACTAGACCTGTGAAATAAAATTGGGGGATCTACAAATACATATTTGGCATATCAAAACCATTACACTTTATTCCTAACAGTTTGTAAATAGAAAAGCATGAGCCGAAATGGTTGGTTTTCGCTAGCAAAGCATACCTAAAGTATTTACAATAAATTGTTGAAGTTCACTGCAAAGTTCATAATGTTGAGTATGTTTACTGTGAGTATATTTTTGAGTTCAAGCATGATTTATTGAATTGTTGAGTTTCACAGCAAATAGAAAGTAGGAGCATATGGTTTCCGTAAATGCCATTTTGAGCATATCATAATTTAAAAGTGCATAAGTGGCCAACGTGAGCCTAAGTATTATTTTTCAAAAATCTCATTTCCATGTAGAGCATCTTTTTCTTGTCTTTTGAGAATGAGTTGAGAAGTATGTGCATTTCTTTTTTCATAAGTTAAATGTTGCATATATGAGATGCATGAGTGATATATATATATATATATATATATATATATATATATATATATATATATATGATGAGGAAGACCTTGTTTTGGAGGACCCATTTGGACTACGTCCTCTCGGGAAGAAAGAAATTGACATTGCGGTCCAAGTGTTTGTAACGTGGCGTAGTCCCACGTTAAAAGGTTGGAAACTTCCCGCCAGGCTTGGAATCCTGGTCAGGGGGTGTGGACACTAAAAGTTCGATACCTGATTCCACAGAGATGAGTTTAGAACTAAGAGAGTGGTTCGGTGGATGAGATTGAGCATAGGTCGGCTAGAGGCCGTACCGGGAGAGGTTTGTTCACGCTACGGTGAAGTTCCTACCTCATCCATTTGTAAAGAAAGCGATTCATTGCGACTCTAAGAAAGTGAGTCACTGCGACTCTAAGAAATGAAAGCAAGCGAGTCTTTGTGACTCTAAGAAACCTCCACATAAAAGTATTCTATTTACAAATGAGTGTATAAGTATACTTATCCTATAGCATCCTAATGCTTTTGAGTATAGTATTGCACGAGATTGCATAATGAGTATGTTTGCATGAGATTGCATAATTAGAATGTTGCACGAGATTGCATAATGAGTATGTTTGCATGAGATTGCATAATTAGAATGTTGCACGAGATTGCATAATGAGAATGTTGCACGAGATTGCATAATGAGAATGTTTGCACTAGATTGCATAATGAGAATGATTAACCGAGATTCTATATTGAGTATGATTGCCTTAGTTGCATATTGATGTCTTATATATCTAGTTTGCATGATGAGAAGTCGAAAACATGAGAATAATTTCTTATTGATTGATAGTACGCAATTGCTTGATAGCATGAGTTCGTTATGATGAGTTTGCTATGTTGAATATGTGTTAGAGTGATTATGTTGATAAGTTATTTATCGTTGAAGCATGCATGTTGATATTATAAGTTGCGAGCATATAAAAAGCTTGTAGTTGATCTTAAAGTTTATCTAATTGTTGAGATTGCTTAATTTGAGAATGTGGGCAAATGTTTTTCCTAAGTATATATTGTAGTACTTTACAGGGTGGAGTGTGGCTATACTTAGCTTCGTGCTAACGGGTGTTTTCTACTTGTCTACTTGTTGTTTTGCAAAACCCCTTTCAGGTGGGCCCAGCGTTTGAGAGTTGATCGAGTTAGACTAGTTTAGTAGATCAAATAGTCTAAACTCTGTTTATTTTTATGATGTTATGATGATGGATTATAGACTTATGTTATTTATGTTTGGTGATAGACACCGGGATGTTTCTTTCCCCCAAGTGATTTTAATTAAGTAATTTCAATGTTAGTTCGACTTAATGACTTAGTTCTATCCTTAGCCTGTGCAATCACCGTGGAGAGGTGGTTGTGGTGGTGACATTCCCACTAGTTTGTTATTTAAGTTTGTTTATCCGCTGCTTAGCTTATCTTTATTTTGGTTTTAGAACTGTAAATAAGTTTAAGAAAAGTGGGGTGTTACACCATGTATGTTTTCTTTTTTCAGTCGTATGGGGGTTTCTAATGTGTGCACGCTCGTCTATAACTGTGTGCACGGGTTCAAAATCGAATTCTTCATCGTTCATTCACTGCCCTAAGAATGTATTACTGTGTATGTTTGTTTTTTTTTTTTGGTCGTAGGGGGGTTTCTATTGTGTGCACGCTAGTCTCTAACTGTGTGCATGGGTTCGAAATTGCATTCTTCGTCGTTTATTCAATGCCCTAGGAATGTATTACTGTTTATGTTTGGTTTGTTCATGCATATGGGGTTTTTGTAATGCGTGCATGCTAGACTCTAACTGTGTGCACGGGTTCAGAATCGCATTCTTTGAACTGTGTGCACGCGTTGCTTTGCCAGAAAATTGCGTCTGTATTTTCTTTGCGGGCAAATCGTTGCCGTATAGGGGTGGATTCCAGTTGGTGGTTGCGTTTCTATTTGTTAGTTTTAATCCTACTCCAATTACTCTTCATTAATTTAGGATATATATCATATTCATATTTTTACTCTAATTAGGATACAATGTAATTGTCATAACTGTCCTTTTAATCATTAATTAGTGTGATGGAGTAATTTCTTTACCTTCAATCTAAGCGATTAATCTACTCTAATCTTGTGGCCCATATTTGCCCACAGGTTTGTATTTTAAGAGGGTTTGCATGTGAATGCTATATATATATATATATATATATATATATATATATATATATATATATATATATATATATATGTGTGTGTGTGTGTGTGTGTGTGTGTGTGTGTGTGTGTGTGTGTGTGTGTGTGTGTGTGTGTGTGTGTGTGTGTGTGTGTGTGTGTGTGTGTTGCGCGCGCGCATGCGTGCGTGCGTGCGTGTATTTATTTATTTATATGTATGAATGTATATCAATGCTTAAATATTAAAAAAAAAAAAAACTAAATATATGTACTACAAATTTTAAATATATAAATATACACACATTTATATTTGATTATATAAACATATATTTATTTCATTATTATTATTATTATTATTATTATTATTATTATTATTATTATTATTATTATTATTATTATTATTATTATATAAGGATTAGTTAACAAGGGCAAAATTGGAATAATTCAATATAATCTAACATTATTTAAGAAAATAGGGGTAATCACATTTCCATCGAAGCATTGCTGCCACATAAGCTTTGAGGTAATATAACATTTTCAGATAATCTAATAACTTGAACCAAACAATGTAATACTCCCTAGTCCATAAATGCATGTCTCCATTTTAAGAGAAGCACAATAAATTGGACTCTCTTTATAATTATACCCTTTTACTCTCTGACTTCTTTGTTACTGTTCTTCTTCTTTCTTCATGTTAGTAATGTTATTAGTCTGTATTATTATATATCTTATAATATTGTTGTAAATAGGTTAGTATTCTATGGTTATCCTATTATGTAGGAATACTTTACGTAGAAGTGTTTAGCATTAGTATTGTAATCTCTATCCTTTTGCAACTGAATACTGAATTCACTATCTCATCTGGTATCAGCTAGCCTAGGTTAGTATTCTCTCTCCTAATTTTTCCAAACACCACCGTCGATCACCCTAAACCGCCGACTACCACCACTCAATCCTCCGACATGTCCACTAATTCCTCAGAACGGACAGTCACTGCCGCCACCGGTGCTCCGCCGGCCACCACCCTAAATCCTCTCGCAACCGCGCACCACTTCGCCTCCATAAAGTTGACGACACGCAACTTCCTCTTCTGGAGGACTCAGCTGGTGCCCTTCTTCCGTGGACTGGAGCTTCTAGGCTATGTTGACAGCAAGACGCCATGCCCACCACTAACCATCGACACCGTGCCAACCTCCGATGAGTCTGCCTCTACCGCCACCACGTCGACCCCAATTCCAAACCTAGCGTACAAAGCCTGGATCAAGCAAGACCAGTCCATACTGTCCTTGCTCATCTCTTCACTCTCCGATGAAGTGATGTACTTGGCTGTCGGTAGGTCTACGTCCAGGGAGGTTTGGAATTCGATCACATCGGCTCTCGGTAGCTCCACTCGTGCCCGGTGCCTGAGTCTTCTCGGGAAGTTCCACTCGCTCCGGCAGGGCAACAGCAGCGCGGCGGAGTATATAGGCTGTGCCCAGCTCTTGGTTGAAGACCTTGCATTAGCCGGCCGGCCGATCACACTAGGCGAACAGAACCTGTTCGTTTTCAGGGGCCTTCATCCGGAATTCCGAGCCATGGCCTACTCTTTTACCGTCGCAGGTATTCCCGTTTCCATCCCCCAGATATCCGAATTTTTACAGGCACAAGAATTCATACACGCTGAGGATTTCCCGGCTGGACCGGATGGTGGTTTCGGTGCTGCTCCATCAGCGCTGTATGCAGGCCATGGCAGCCGCAACAATAATGGTGATGGTGGACGGAATGGTTCCAACGGTCAAGGCCGAGGCAATCTAGGCTCTGGCCGTGGCGGGCAAGGGAGAGAATATGGTGGCCGGAATGGCGTGCCGCGTTGCCAGATCTTCCGTGCACAAGGACACACTGCCGTGCACTACTATAAGCGATACACCGGGTAGCCACCGGCTCAGGCACTACTATAAGCGATCTTCCGGGCACAAGGACACACGCCCTCAACCGCCGGATGGTTTCCGGACACCGGCGCATCGGCCCACGCAACGCCTGACGGATCCTTGAATTCCCAATCCGATGAATACACCGGGGGCGACGTTTTCCGTGTTGGTAATGGCACAGGTTTTATTATTTCACGCGTTGGTCATGCGTCTATACCTTCCGAGTCAAAGTCCTTACATTTATCTAATGTGTTATATGTGCCTGAACTGCCAATCCCATTACTCTCTGTTCAGCGGTTTACTAATGATAATAATGTCTTTTTTGAATTTCACAAAAATTGTTTTATTGTGAAGGATTCAATCACCAGGGCAGTGCTGCTTAAAGGACCCACCGCGGGTGGCCTGTATAGACTCCCGGTGTCTCAGTCTCATTTCGCGTATCTTAGTTCCCATGCAACTTCCGTGGTGTGGCACCGCAGACTGGGCCATCCACATGTACACGTCCAAAATCGCATTTTAAAGACTTGTCCGGTTGCTCCAAATAAAGCCAAATCGTCGGGGTCGTGCACATCTTGTCACCTCGGCAAAGCCTCGAGATTTCCATTAGATAGGGTTTCATTCTCTAGCAAAAATGTGTTGGATCTATTGTATACCGACATCTGGGGCCCCGCCCCTGTAATTTCTTCTAGTGGTTTTAGATATTTTCTGCTATTTGTAGAGGATTATTCCCGCTTTTGTTGGTTTTATCCCTTAAAGGTAAAATCAGACATATATAAAACTTTTGAGTCGTTTCGTGTCATGGTAGAACGCCAATTTTCGCGTTCTATCAAGTCCATCCAATCAGATTTAGGCGGAGAATATCGCAAGCTACATAACATATTTAACGTGCTTGGTATTAATCACCGCCAGTCATGTGCTTACACGCACGAACAAAATGGTAGAGTAGAATGCAAAAACAGACATATAGTTGAAACCGGGTTCGCCCTACTAGCCGAAGGCTCAATCCCGCTACAATATTGGGACTATGCCTTCGAAACAGCTACCTGCCTAATAAACTATCTACCCACGTCAGTTTTACAATTCCAAAGCCCATACAGTCTCATCCACAAAGTGTCACCTCCATACACGTTCCTACGGGTCTTCGGTGTCGATGTTACCCTTATCTGTGGCTCTATAATCGCCACAAGATAGAGTACCGTCCGGCACCCTGTGTCTGCTTAGGTTACCCACCGTCATTTAGGGGCTATATATGCATTGACTTAACAACTAGAAAAATCTATATCTGTTGCTATGTTCGTTTTGACAAATCTGTTTTCCTGTTTTCAGTTTTGGCTAAATAGGATCAGGCACATGCAGTATCAACCATAGTCCCATGGGCAGCTAGTCCGGTGACAACTCAACTTCCGTCTACTGCCCAAACGGCACCGCCAGATCCAAACAATGGCTTTATAACACCAGCCAGTCCAGTACCCTTGGCTCAAGATCTGCCAACCTTGGCTATTGAAGGGTCGACTGCATTCCAACCTACCAGAACTCGCGTCACCCCGCCCCAACAGCAAGAACGAGGGCATGTCATGCGGCTACGACACATGACCCAGGGCACTAGCGAGGAGTTCCACGCATTAAGTGCCACTACTGATCCGACTTGCTATTCGCAGGCGGTTGGGCACCCACAGTGGCGGGATGCCATGGATCAGGAGTTTAATGCACTCCTACTTAACCGTACTTGGTGTCTTGTTCCCGCTGAGCCTCACATGAATGTTATTGGCTGCAAGTGGGTGTTTCGCACCAAACGCACTGTCGATGGCTCGATTGAACGATATAAGTCTTGTCTCGTTACCAAAGGGTTCAATCAGGTCACAGGCGAGGACTTCTTTGACACCTTCAACCCGGTTGTCAAACCGACTACAGTCTAGTTATTGTTTTCTCTGGCAGTGTCAAATCACTGGACGCTGCGACAGCTAGATGTTCACAATGCCTTCCTGAATGAGCACTTAGCAGAAATGGTCTATATGAAACAGTCGCCAAGGTATGAAGACCCGACACATCCTGATCATGTGTGTCATCTTCAACGCTCTTTATATGTCCTCAAACAAGCTCCGCGGGCTTGGTTCAAGAGGCTGCATGACTTTTTACTTTCTGCAGGTTTTTCTCCGTCCAAAACAGATGTCTCGTTCTTCCACTACTCTGCTGCCTCCTCTCGGGTTTTCTTACTGGTGTATGTAGACGACATTATCATGATGGGGAATGATTCCACACTCATCACTACTCTACTACACCGCCTGTCTTCCACCTTCAAGATACGGGATCTTGGCACTCCGGGGTTCTTTCTCGGCATTGAAACACTTAAGATAGACTCTGGGATAATTCTCTCACAACGACGTTACATGGGCGACATTCTAACCCGCGCCGACATGTCTGATTGTAAACCACTATCAACTCCAGTTGTTGTGACGTAAGCCGTCTCTCTTGATGAACAACCGTTTGATAACCCTACTCAGTACCGCCGCATAGTGGGCGCTTTTCAATACTTAACCATTACTAGGTTAGATCTTTCTTATGCTGTTAACTACCTATACCAGTTCATGCACTCTGCGACTACCAACCATTGGGTCTACTTAAGCGAGTCTTACGATACATCAAGGGCACTCTCGACGACGGGTTGCGCCTATCTGTCTCCGCTTCCTCAGCCATTCACGCCTTTTCTGACTCTGATTGGGCTACTTGCCCCCTGGACAGGAAGAACACAAGTGGCTATGCTATGTTCTTGGGTTCCAATCTCATCTCTTGGCTCTCCAAGAAGCAACGCACTGTGGCACGCTCGTTGACTAAAGCCGAGTACAAGGCCCTAGCTGATGTCTCCGCAGAAGTTACTTGGGTGGTTTCGTTGCTCCGGGAACTGGGTCTCCATTCTGGTGAAGCTTCTACTTTTTGGTGTGACAATCTTAGGGCCACTTATCTCTGCGCTAATCTAGTTTTTCATGCCAGGACCAAACATGTTGAGATCGACTTTCACTTCGTTCGAGACAAGGTTGCTTCTGGGGATCTGGTAGTCAACTTTGTGTCTACTAAGGATTATGTGACACCCCAAAAATCCACACTCCAATCCATGAATTAATTGAGTAATTAATTCTAATTCTTTTGAGGAATTGATTACTAAAATCCTGATTTTTAATACTCAAGGACTAGTATTTGACTAGTCAATCTTTAAGTTGTGTTGTACCTTGTGCTTAGAGAGGAGTTCCCTTGTTCCTTACACTTTCTAAGGGTTAGTAAGGGTAGCCTTGTCTTTTCACCAAGAGTTAGTATTGTATCCTAACCTAGAAGACTCCTTCATTTCATTTCTTACAATTCCTAGAAAAATATCTCTACCTTCTCTCTAGAAAAGAAGTGTAGCTTATTCTTCAAGCCAAGTTGAGACCCTTGTCAAGATTTCAAGTTTTGCTTCCAAGATTCAACCTTTCACCTATTTGGGCATCTAGGAGGGTAAGATCTAAGCTTGTTTAGTCTTTTTGGTTCCATCTTAGTTGTCTTTTTCTTAAAGGTAGGATCTTTATGATCTTTTGGTTTGATCTTGAAGTGGGTTTGAGAAGTGAGCCTAGTGGAGAGCTTGTTGTGGTGTAAAGAGAAGTCTTTTGGTCTTCAAGAGGTAACCCATGCTCTACAGAACCTATTTTGCTTACCTATATGTGATTTCTTGGATTCTACATGTTCTTTGCTATGAAATGTGAGGGTCTTATGCATTTATCTTGTGATATTGCATATCTAGAGCTTGTGTTTAGGGTTCCCTTGTGCCATTGCTTGGCATTTTCCATGGTTCAAGTCATTTTGTTGTGTTTGGTGAGATTTGGTGTGTTTTGGACTTGAATTTGTGTTTGGAGAAGAAAATCCCCGAAGGGATTTGTTTTGGAACAGGGTTGTTCCCGCGGGCGGAACGGCGGGCGGGGCACCACCCGCCGGCCTACCCGCGGGTACATAGCCTGTGGGATGGTGTTCCCGCGGGCGGGACCACGGGTGGGGCACTACCCGCGGGTACACGGTGGTGTTTGGTTCGGGATTTGTTCCCCGTGATTCGTTGTCTCGGTATTTGATCTTTTGACTTCCCGTTGTTCTTTTGTGGAACTATTTGAGTGTCTTCTTGATGTTTCGTAGATCTAGAACTATATGGTAGGTATCCATGTAGGACTTTGGTGTCTTGAATCGTGCTAAGTGTTCAACATTGTGTTTCGTTGAACCAAGAGGTGTCTTGTGTGTTCCTCGGAACTATCTTGAGTTTCCCCGTTGTTAAGCATGCTAGTTCGTTGTCTTAATACTAGCGTGTGTGTTGTTTGTACCTTCCGTTTGGTTGATGATAACTTGTGTTATCCATCGTTGTTGTCGTTGGGCTGTGACCCGTTCCTTGATTGAGTATGTTTCATACCTTCGTTGTGATCCGTTGTTTGATTCCTGTTGAGTTGTGGTGCGTGTGTGACTCTACCTGGATTGCACGATTAGTGGTATGGGACGCTAGTCACCAAGGTATTGCAGCGGTCCTCGTGGTGGCCGTGACGTGATTATGGAGTTGTGGCCTGAGTGATGGGTCCACGTGATTGGGGGATAACATGTGTTATCCGGGTATGTGTTGCCGTGATTGGTGGTGGTTCGTTGGTGGTTATAGGTGGGGGACGACGGTCCCGGCGGAATAAGGTTGGACTTGGCTGTACAGGGGATCCTGGAGGTAATGGTTGGAAAGAAGGTACAAGGTTGGGGGTAGCCATAAGGTTGGAACAGGGCATAAGGAAGGCATACCAACTCGTGATGGGTGATGTTGCGAGGGCTTGTAAAGCCGGCGTTGTGTGATCTTCTCTCGTGACGTGTGTAGTCACGGAGGTTTGTGTTGTTTTGGCATGTGTTGCCGTTGGGTGAGTCTTTATCCTTGTGTGTGGTTAATCTTTGTGGTTTGGGATGTGTTCCCGTGTGGTCTTGAGAGTGATGAGTCTTGTGTTGACTGGTGATCTTGGCTTTTG